CCCGAAAACAATCATTCGAACATCTCTACAATGCTAATCTCTGTGTTGCAAACATTGTGGTTGGCTTATGCTATATTCCAAGTACAACATACTACGAGACAAAAAAAAGTATATTTCGTCTGGACAGATTGCCAGAGAACCTACACCTACCTGCATCAGGAGTATCATACTCAGATACACCAATCCAGTAATATTGCTGCACTGGAGATCATTCAGTACCAAAGCCTCGACCACCCGGCTAACCACCTTCACATCCAGCTTACGCAGCTCCTGATGTGTCAGGACAATCGTATTGATATCCCGTTTAATTGCTTCTGCATGGCTACTGGTGCGTCTGAGCAGGGTATTGTACAGGTCTCGCATGCTGCCCTCATTCACCGTCTCCACTAACACAGGCCACATCATACTGCGCACACTCGCGGGTATGCCATGTACCACCAACTCACTAGCTCTATTCCTCCGCTTTCTCTGGCCTAGGGTATCCCATGTGTTGCGGAGTTCAATCCATGCGCTCTCCAGCGCTTCAGCTTGCATAGGAACCATATTGCCGTTCAGAGGTTCGGCAGAGTCTATACTACCGAAGATACGCCTGGCGATAGGACTGGCAGCTAACATAAACTGCGAACTCAGTGAACGGGCGGCCGGTAGGTGCCCATCCTGTGATGTTTCTGAGCCTATTCGTGCGAACTTTTCACCGTCTACTCCTGGGCTGTCCGTTTGCTTGCCTATGTCTGCATTAAAGGTCTCCATCTTGAGTAGGAGTTCCTTGATGGAGGGCGTTTGTCGGAGGACATTGTTAGCGGCTTGTGGGGTCGACATGATATTTTAATGTCTTGTGATGTATAGGTTAGTATGGTATAGTCAAATGTTCAACACTCCGCAGTACGTATATGTTGGTTAAGGCCGCTGTAGAGGCATGCGGGAGGTGGACTCTGGCCACTCATTTAGTACTCCTCAGCTATATGTTTGTGTTCAGCTGTGATATGATAACACCTCAGAATGAATTTGATATACGCAGTCCCCTGAGAGCGCGATTGTTTAGTCGGACACTTAACTATGTCTCGTTCAACCCGCCCCAACTCTCGCACCGCTCGCAATGCCAATTGTCCGATACGAAATACGAAACTCAGTTAAAAGGGTCTACTGCAGATATAGGATATAGATGTATTTGTATTTGTACTCGTATTTGTGTCTGTTGGATCGATCCTCGTATGCGAGTGTACGTATGTTCTTGCAATTGCCCATTAATATTCAATAGTGGTCCAGATAACACTCTCTATACCCGTCTTATTCCCTTATTTAAAACGTACTATCATATTAAATATTGAACAAGTATTAAGTGATGGCACCGATTGATAATTATTTTTTTAGAAGCTCCACTCTCTCTCTCACTCTACTCAGAGAGTGGGAGAGGTGTGTACTGTCCAATGCCTGTGCCTAACGTAAATTCGGTAGCAAATGCCAAAAAAAAGGATTGAATTCGATACGTTTTAAAAACGTAAAAACGATAAACTGCTTACATACTGAGTGACAGTAGAGAGTATGTAATCATTATCAGTCAAGATGCGAGTCTTGAGAATTTATACTTCCAGTTGAAATCCTGATCAGGTACATACTCTATTATTATTTTAAAATACAAAACGGCATTTTTAAAGAGCCGTTTGAACGTTTTAACGAGAAACGAGCTGAGGCCTGAGGGTATAAGCGTTTCACATGTACTTTTGTGAGTTTCCTGTTATGAGTCTTGCGTTGTGACTCTTTTCTTCCCCAGTTTTGAAGTTTCCAACTTCCACCACAAGAAGCGTCAACTTTCAAGTTTCATTCCCAGATCACCTTTTGTATTCCAATCCAAATCGGCTTGTTGTACTCTGATACTCACGGCACCACTCCACTCACCAACCACCAACAGCCAGAGCCCAGAGATATATTAAAAAGTATTGCGAATCATTTCCCAAATTGTGTTGCATTTACATGCCAAATTTCCGACCTTTTTTTTTTAAGAAAGCTACAGTATGTGCATACATAGGCAAAAAAAAAATACGAACTTATATTCCTAATTTTTACTTTCTTAGAGCGCCTCCAAACTGTTTTAGGAGGCTGCGTAGCAATTTTGGCCAGAATACTGAATTGAAGTGCTTGTGCTATAAATAGATGGATTGTCTCACACATTTGTTAACGAGTAACGACCGTACGACACACGCTTTTTCTTTCAGGACCCTCACACACAGTGTGAGACTGGAGCGAGAGAGTCTGTGCCTGAGAGAGAGACACTCCGTCGAGAGCGGCGAGAGAGAGAGAGAAGACCGTGTGCGAGAGCATTGTCTGCGTGTCGCAACCGGCAACTTCCAACCGAAACGCCAGGCAAATCCACAAAGCATACAACACCGGCTGCTACTTACCCCCGTAGAAAATAAACAACCTCGTATGCACCGTTCAATTTTATATAGCACACTAATATAGCACACACCTACATACGCGTACAAACACACCAACAGTATTTATATACAGGACTTACTAGAAAGGCTATGGTTGTGGCGTGCGTTATCCTTGAATCTGACTGATATCGCGTGCTCGTCATCTTCACAACGTGCCACCATGGCGAACACCATGTTGTCTGATAGTACTACGCACGCAGGAAAGGCTTCTGAAGTGATTGCAATCCTTTCTTCTGGCGAGTCTTCAGAACTTCAGAACCAGAAAATCCTATCCGAAAGCGTTAGTTCACCCAAGAAGCAGCCAGGTAAATCTACAGACACTTCAACAGACAGCTCGGTATCACCCCCACCCCTCGCTAGACTGATTAGACCGAAAATACAACCTGCCACACACGAACACAAACAGTCGCAGACACTGACACATGGTACACTGACACATGGTCATAGCAAAGACAGTGTCGCACCTATGGATGTGGATGGAGTGGACAAAAGTGTGGTTGATGAAGTGCAAGGAACGGCCGATGGTACTGTAACACCGTCGACAATGGACGCGGTTAGTAGCGCGAGAACGAACAAAGACTCGTCGATAGAAGCAGGGACAACGGGTGTTTCAATAGGAATCCCGTTACATGCACAATCCCAATCACAATCACAACCACAACCACAGGCACATGTAGGCACGGTAGATGAGAGACAAAGCGGTACGAATGCGGGATCTGTAGCTGAACAGCAGAACGCAACGGGGTCTATAGAGCAGATGAATGGGCAGACAGTACAACAGGGGCAAACGCAGGCAGACCAGAATGCACAGAAGCCTGCACCTGCACACACACAGAGGAACATGTTGACCCTAGTGCAGTCTCGAGCTGAAAATAGGCTGCAGACAAAGGACGCCTCACAGACACCGACAGATGGACGGGCGAATGCACACACCATGGCATGCTCAGAGGATGCAGACACCTTGCAACATCGAGACGGTGCACAATTACAAACACACACAACGCATGCACCCGCGACGCAGAAGTCCACATCACCCCATCCCAATGTTATAGGTATGCCCGGGGCACATATTCGTCCGAGGGTATTTTCGGCTGATGGGATGGTTAGACCGAAGGTGATCTCAGCCACACACTCCCACATGAACACACAAACACACCCGAAACCTAAGGTTATAGGGATAGGGGTAGGGCAGGTTACCAAGGCAACGCAACAGCAGATACGGGGACTTACACCGCCATACACACAGGCACACATGCGCACACTGCCGATTAATGGTAGCCTCACATCCAACACCCCCCCACCACTTACACAAACAGTACCATCAACATCAACCGCACACACACAACAGGGTGCACAAGTAAACGCACCGACACAAGCGCAGCCACAAATACCCCCGCACACACCCACACCACAGCCACCCACAGACGCAATAGTAATCATGGCAACCGCAGCAACAACACCAGCACCGTCACAGGCAACCGCAGCAACAACACCAGCACCGTCACAGGCACCTTCAGCTACACCGTCCATCTCGAATTCCAACTCAACTATGATAACAGCGGCGAATAATACCGCTCATGGCTCGAAAGGAGCGAACGGCGAAGTGCCTCATAAACCAGGTTTTTCTGTGCTGGTGATAGAGTGCGGCAAGCGGTACGACGTGCAGTGCGGCGACACCGTACGGGTAGCCGAGGTAATAGAAGTTCGGTACCAAAAGGAACGGCTGACAGATGTGTACCTACACTACGACGGACTTAATAGACGGCTGGATGAATGGGTACCTGTTGACAGACTCAGTGCCTTGCCCCAGTCTCCGGTTATGGGACAAGGGAGACAATTGCAGGCTAGGAAGCTGAGCGGGGGGGTGGGGGGGTCGGCAAATGGAGCTACGGCCAAGCTGGCGGGGACCGGGGGTCTGCGGCATGGGACAAATAAAGAGGAGCGCACGCTCACGCGCAACATGAAACGCAAGCACGACGAGAAAAACCACGTGCAGAAGACATACGACGAGATGGACCCGACCACCGCGGCGCTGGAAAAGGAACATGAGACCATGACCAAGGTCAAGTACATCAACATCATCCAGCTGGGCAAGCACGAGATCGACACGTGGTATTTCGCGCCATACCCAGACGACTACGGTAAGGCTAACAAGCTGTATGTGTGTGAGTACTGTCTCAAGTATGTCAAGTATAGCAGGACCATGTCTCTGCACCGGGAGCGGTGTTCACACCGGCAGCCGCCCGGCCTGGAGATCTACCGGGCCGGGGCTATCTCCGTGTATGAGGTGGACGGGTCTGAGTCACGCCTGTTTTGCCAGAATCTGTGTCTATTGGCCAAGCTATTTTTAGATCACAAGACGCTGTTCTTCGATGTGTCGCCGTTCCTGTTCTATGTGATGTGTGAGGTGGATGACCACGGTGCACGCGTGGTGGGGTACTTCTCTAAGGAGAAAGAGTCTGTGGACAACTACAACGTGGCCTGCATCCTCACCTTACCGCCATACCAGCGCAAGGGGTATGGGAAGTTCCTGATCGCCTTCAGCTACGAACTGACCAAGATGGAGGGCAAGCATGGCTCACCGGAGAAGCCGCTGAGTGACCTGGGGGCGTTGTCATATAGGAGCTACTGGGCCGGTGTGCTACTACGCACACTCAGAGATACGGTGGGTACGGTGACGGTGAAACAGCTGTGTGATCGGACGGCGTTCTGTGAGGAGGATGTGGTGTCGTCCCTGCAATCCCTGGGCCTGATTAAGGTAGAGGGTGATATACTATGTGTGCTATACTACAATCCGCATCGTTTGCGAGCCGTGATGATGATGCATATATAACCATATGTATATATATATAAATATATATATATATATTAATATATATATACAGATATATATATATACA